ATCATGAAGATTTCAGATTTGATTAAAAAAACGTAGTGAAAAAATAAGATATGTAAAGATGACACAATACATGATTATGATTTGCAGCTATTGTGTAGATATATTAAAGCCATTAAACAATAATTTTATAGCCTTATTAGTGTCATTAGAGTAATATTTGACAATTTTTTGTTCAAACTTTCAATAAATCCAACAACAATGCATACTTTGTTGTCACATCACAAACATATTGTAGATTTATTGGGAGCATTAAATGAAATAACAACAATACTAAACACAAGAACTAATTTGCAAAGAACAAGAATTTTGAACCAAAGTATATGATTATCTTTCAAATAAAAAAATTGCCCCAACATAGGATTGTTGTTAATTAAAAGAAAACACAAAGACCAAAATATATAAAATAGTGGTCTATCCAAAATGCTATATTGTATAGACCAATGAAATAAAAATAAAAATAAAATATAAAATATAAAATATAAAATTAATCAAATTTCTTTATGCATAAAAAAAAGGGGCAAAATTACATACGAGCATTGTTCCGGTGGGGGGGTCAATTACAAAATGGGAACATTGTGTTCCCAAATTACGGACAGTACGCCCCCTCCCCTAGCGTTTTTTTTCCCATTTTACCCCCCTGTCAGGTAAACCTAACGCCAGACATGTGTTTTTGTGCGTTTAATTGAAAAAAGTTGCCCGGTGTTCAAAACACCGGACATGTCTTTAAGTTTTTCAAGTTTTAAAGTTTGTTGTCCAGTTTTATAAATACCAAACAGAGTCTTTTTAACTTACAAAATAAAAACCTCTATCCGGTGTTCGATATACCGGATAGTTATTTGGCTCATTTTAAACGAAAAAAACCCCCACTTCGCTCTACGCTATTTACTTTGTAGTGAAGCCTGCTCAGTAGTGAAGCCTAAGCCTAAGTCAAGCTCTTATCTCATTCTGTGTTTTCTGAATCGAAGCCCTTTGTGTGACATTCGAGCAGCCTTCTCAAACCACAACCGAATTAGGTGTGTTTCAGGATTTTTTTTTTTTTGGGTAAATGAGATTTGGGGCATTAGGATTTTTGGGATAAAATAACCCCAAAATTTGTAAATGGCGGATTAGGGTTTTTGGTTCACTTATGAATGTTCATTTTCCTATTTGATTGTGATTGAAAATATGCATTGTTAGGTCTTGTTGTATATTCAATTGAATCGATAATGAATGTTTATCAACTGATAAAAATAAAAAAAGATCAAGAATGCCTTGAATGTAGAGCTGGGTTCCCTTATTTTAAATATATTATTTTATTAAATAATGAACTCAATCTTAAGGTTTAATGGATTTTTACTGATTGAATATAGTAGGATAGCTTCAGTCATGACATATTAATTTAATTTGTTAATAAAAAATATTTTATGCTCCTGCATGAGTGTAGTGTTGGTCATGGAAAGAAAACCCCAACATTGAAGGATTTTTTGTTTTATCTAGAAGATTAAGGCTATGAAATCTTGTAGTATATGATGTCCACAATTTTTTTTTTATGATAATACTAGATCTATTTTATTTTTTTCTTTTTATATTTTTTGGTTTTGCTGGAACTTATGAAGTAATAAATCTATACCAATTATGTGGACCTTATAATATTAATTATGCTCACCAGATTTATTCATGGCCACTAGTGGAGTTAGATTATTGGTTCGTCATGGTGGTTGTTTTGAGCGTAACGATATGACAGATGGACAATTTATAAAGATAGTAACTTAAAAGCCACATTATATAAGGGGGCTACTCACTACAACAATAAAAGGCTCATATCGGGTCTATATTGAGCTCTAACCCAAACAGTTTGAAAATTATGTATGAAGAAAAGGAGCACTTAGTTGATTTAATAGATGGTGGGGATGTATCGTATATGCTAGTGGTGGCCTCCGATATATTCCTATGTGTTGCAAACCAGCCATTGCAACCAAATCAAGTGGAGCATTAGCCCTTTGTTCATACATTTGCTCCATCAACAAGAGATAGGTTTTGTTTGGAGATGTAACATCTTCAACCTAGAGACCAACCTCAATAAATAAACAAATTAATTAATTAAAAACAAAAATATAAAACCATTAACTCTATATGCTTGAAAGAAAAAGCAATCTCAATATTGAATAGGGACTACTTCAATTTTTTACAGGCAAGATCTAGGTATTGCAGAGCTCAATATCCTACATTCTTTTCAAAAATAATCATCTAGTTATTCTTAAGCAAATCCCAATATTACATATAAAAAAAGCTCTACGTGGCTTTTTTGCCCCAGAGAGTTAATATACAGCACGAGATCGACAATCTAGTTCCAATTTTCACATGAAGGAACAAATGAATACTTGATCTGAAGAATACGATGCCGAGAACTCCAAATTAAGCAAACACTAATGCAATTAACTCTGGAAATTAATATAACAAAGAACTAATATTATAAATATAAAGAACCAAAAAACCACCATTTGGTGTTTAGAAAAACAAACAAACACAACAACAAAAAAAAAAACCTCAATGCATGATTTGGGGTTATTCTATCCCCAATACCCTAAACATCCAAATCTTATTTTCAAACCCAATATATTTTGGGATTATTTTATCCCCAAAATCCTAATTCCCAAATCTTATTTTCCCCAAAAATTATTTTTTCTTGAAATATACCTGATTCGATTGAGAAGATTGTGCTTCAAATTAACCAGAGATTGAGCAAAAATAGTGCTGGATTGGCAAAATGGCAAAGATAAAGAAGAAGGAAAGGGCACCCCTGTCAGGTAGAGCAAAGTGAAATGGGGCTTTTTCGGTTTAAAAGAGTCGGTCCGGTGTTTCAAACACCGGGCAAATTCTTTTCAACTAAACACACAAAAATACATGTTCAGTGTTTGATTTACCAAACATAGGGTAAATTGGGGCGAAAAACGACTGGGGTGCCGCTCGTAATTTAGGAACACATTATTCCCATTTTGTAGTTGACCCCCCACAATACCCGTACGTAATTTCTCTAAAAAAATAACAAAATGCTTAAGCAAATTCAAATCTCGCTCTAAATCCATAGCTACCTAAATCTTTAGTATCATTAAATCTCTCTATTGCACTTTATAAGGATGCTATGGGCTTAAAGAAAAAAAAAAAGAAGTATTTTTCATTGGTTTACTCTTCCTCTAATTCTACCTATTATTTTGCGATATTCGATTGTTTTGATTACTTTTTTAAGGAATATATTGCTTGTATTTTTTTGTATGTTTTTTAAATGAACTCATTGTTGAGTTTTTTTTATAGATTTTTTTGTTAAATAAATATTTTTAATTTACTCCTATTGTTAATGTACTTATCTTAAAACTAAAATTCAATAATATTAAGTTAATGAAGAAATAAAATTATAGGGATGAAGTTTTTTTAAAAAGGTTTTTTTGAAAAAAGATAAAAACTTAGAGTTCTAAACGGGTTCAAAAATTTTGATTTTTTTTTTAAAAAAAATCATGCAACTGAGACTTGCTAACTGTGATTTGAAATGAACACACAATGAGCGATTGAGAGTCTTTATTATAGTCATGGATCCATAATTGACCCAATACAGCCCAAAAAAACAAAATATAAAAATAGGGGTTTTAGCTAGTTTTCATGTGAAGCAAGGCCAAATCGCCTAATTCCGGCTGGGATTCTACCCAGTTATTCCTAGTCCGGAACCAACTCCGCTGGCTCTCAATCAGATCGGTGATTTTTAAAACCTTGTTTACAAAAAAAGCATAAAAATGCTCATATTTTGAAGTAGTTGTTACTTGGTTTTGTAAATTCGTGTTTTAAGATAGAGGAATCAGGTGTTGATTCATCACTGTGTGATATGAGTTGAGTTGTTGATTATCAGGTCTCTCGCCGAGTATAGGCGATGGGCCAAAAGAGTGAGAGAAAAATTGATTAGCATGTTATGCATGAAAAAGTATACAATGAGATTATTTACTTTTGGTATTAGGGGGTTGCCGTTAATCTTGATCATTAGATGTGAAATTAGATTAGATGTGAAATTAGATGGTTGCATTTATTTTATTGACCAAACACAAAATTTAAAAGAAAATTTTTCGAACTTTATGACATACCCAAGCTATCAGATTTCACATCGTGACCTACTTGTATTAAACTTAAATAGTCTTATTATATATAATCTAATTATGTATTTGGATGAAAATTTTAAAAACATATGGATACTAAGGGTTTTTTTTATCTGATTGAGCGCCACACATTTATTACATGGCAATAATAAGTTACACAAGAGGGGCAGTCAAATGCCCAAACTATAAATACAAATAAATAAGTCAAGTTATATAATCTAAAGTCAATATGAAAGTCGAAGAGGAGGAAAGTCATCCTGAACACTACGATCTTTAATACATTATAGTTTGTTGAGGAACAAGTCTGTTTGTTGGGGAACTTTGAGTAATCCCTCCTAATCCATGACTCAAACTATTGTCGATATGGAAGGGAATCAATCGGGACCAATCTGGGATCATACAGGTATTGGCCTGATTTCCCTAAAACCTAATTTACATATTTTTTTTCCTTTTTTTTTTTTAACCGATCCAGATTATCGATCAAATGATCCGACACAGATCTATGGACATTTAGTGAAGTAACATAGGTGTGTGCTACAACATAGGATAGGATGGCTCGGGCGATGTCAAGTGTTTCTAACATTACCTTTGCTACTCTCTTGAATACATTCCAAAGAAAACAACATGGTCATGTGAGGCTCACTTTACCCAATTTTAATTATTTTTTTAATTTTCTTTTAGGATAACATATATCTACACCGAGATAATCTCTACATTGTCAATAGGAGGCACATGTACCTACCTACACTACTAAATGGAAAGCAAAAAAAGAAAAAGGAAGAAGCATATTTCTCATGAATTGAACGGCACAAAGTAAGAAAAACTCAAAAAAAAAAAAATTAAATAAATAAAATAAATAAAATAAGAAAAAGAAAAAGAAAATGAGACAAGAGAATGGCCTGAGGATTTTATTGATGGATAATAATATTATGGCAGAAACTACAAGAAAAAACAAGGAGTGTAAGGACATTGTTATTCATATGAATGATTTATTCTATGAAAATAATAACTTTTGCGATGTTGAGTCCTTGCTTCACCATCCTTCTAGCTAGGAATAACGACACCTGCCAAGCAACGTACACTTTATTTATTATTATGCATTTAAAGAGAATAATAAGTTGAAATTTTCTTACATTTTGAAAAAAAATAATAATCTAAAATATTGCAGGCCAATCCATAATTATTAGGCTAAAATCACCAAATCAGCACCGTAAGTGTAATTTAACTCAACCAAAATACTCTAATAGGCTTGTTTGGACGTACTCATTATCGATGATAATTCACTATTGTAATAAAGTCATTTCTGAAAATGAATTGGTTATTGTTTGACAGTGTCCATCATAATTTTTAACTTAAAGTATTTTTAATTTATTCATGGTAATTTACTAAAAATCATATTTTTTCACCAAAAATAGCTAAAAATGACTAGAACTTGCTAAAAAAGCTAAATAATACTATACATGATACATACCAAATAACAAACAAGATAATATTATTTAGGGTTTTTAAGAAAAAAGCCTAATGAGAACTTTCTTTTAAGAAATTAAATATCAATATATTTTATTTTTTACTTTAGCTCTCCAGTTTTTATAAAGAGACGAATGGATCAATTTGCCCATCTTTCAAAAAACAATGTTAACAACTTTCTTTTACCTTATCTCTCACTTTTTTTTTCTATAGTTACTTTTTTTTTTAATGATACTTTTCGCGGGAAAAAAATGTATCATTAAAAAAAAAATTAAAAAATAATATTTGGATGATGGTGATAATGATGATTATACTTTTTTACCATTGTTTCTTGCTTCTCACATTTTCTTTTTGAAAACCCAACATATTCTTTCCTTGTCTCTCATTCTCTCTCTAAAAATCTAACCCATTCTTTTCTTTCATTGCATTTCTCTTTAAAAACCAGCCCATCTCCCCTCCTCTTACATTCTCCCTTTAAAAATATTGCCCATTTATACATCCCCTCATTTGCTCTCTCTAAAATCTAAATTATAGAAGAAGAGAGAGAAACTAAAGAAAAAGAAAATTATTGTATACCTTTTGAAACACCAAGAACGTGATATCTCTTTCTTCTATGATTTATGTTATCCTTTAATTTTTCTCTCTTTTTCTTATTTGAATTTAGTTTCAAAGAGAGAATATGGAGAAGGCAAAGAAAATGTCTGGTTCTAGAGAGAGAATGTGAAAGTGGGATAGTTAGGTGTTTAGAGGGAGAATGCAAGAGAATTAATAGTTAATTGTATTTTTAAAAAATGTGAAAGAGATAAAAGGGAGGAAGAAAGTATAACAACAAAAATGTGGAAGATGTGAGAAAAAGGGACCATATGATTTTTGTCTTTAGAGGAGGGCCAGACCAATCACCTTTTCACAAAATTGAGGTGAGCTAAAGTCCAAAATTAAATTTTTAAGAAGGCCAATATCTTAAAAATAATATCTCACAAGGCTTTTTGTCTTAAAAAGCCTTATTATGTAGAACATATTAGTTTTAGATGAGATAATCTATTCCAAATAAAATTATCATCATACAAACATGCCATGTATATATTTAAGTTAGTTTGTTTTGAACCCAGTTATAAAAAACTTAAAGAACTATTTTTTGAAAACCTAATCTTCTAAGGAGCATCCCATGAGCTTGGCAACCTAGTCATGAACTCCATCTTGAAACAAAGGAAATAGGAAATCTAAAGAAAACTCTTTTGGACTTAGTAAACTAAGCAAGAACCCCCAAAGTGATTTTCAAAGAAAAATTTGAAGCTCCAAAACTTTACAACCATTTTGAATACCTAATCATCAATACCATCTCATCAAATGCATGAAAAATAAAAGGAATACAGAAGAAATGTATATAATTACTTCCACATTTGGTGCCAGAGGGAAGTGGCCTGTTGCAGTGTTTGGCAACATAGATGACCTTAGTCACGCTAATATACTGCTCGATTTCCTTCGTGACGTGCTTGCAGACACACGGCATGTTTGCAGCCTGCACTGCTGAGCAGCACCTTCCCGATGGTGGCAATTGCGGTCCGTCTTTTTTCACGTATTCGAGGCATTGACTGGTTAATTCATTTATATCGTTCTCGCAGTCTGGTTCATCTTGGCTCCTCACAACCATAGCCATAGCTGGTTCATCTTGGCTCCTCACAACCATAGCCATAGCCATAGCCATTGCTAGCACTATTAGCAGGAAAGCAACAATGTGGCCTCTTCTTTCCATCTCTCTTCTCTCTCTCTCTCAAGTTTTAGTGGTTTGAGGGAGAAGGGGGGAGTGTATTTATAGGAGAGGAATGGCAGAATATACATAAATTATTACTCTTAGGCTCTCTTGTTGTTTGCTATTTGTTATAGACGAACCTTATCAATACGACTTTGGTTAGAAGCCCACACGACTTTATTTAGAAAGGGGTGCATTCTCTTCATGACCCAAAATTGGGGTGTTTGTTTTTTTTTGCATGAATGTGAAAAAGATATGTTGGACAGCGGTACAAATTGTTCATTTGGAACTACAAAGTGAAACTCCTAGTAAGAGTAAGTCTGGCACCTAAACTTCTTAAAACATGGTTATTGCATTCTAAGATAAATTATTAAAAAAATATATTAATAAAAAGCACAAAAGTAAGGGAAACGTTTATATAGAGCCGAGGCTCTAAACAATCAAATCAGAGCCTACCTCAAAAATTTCATTAGAAGAGGTTGTTTTGATGCCCATATATCCTCAAATTGATCATCTCGACATCCAGATGCATGGATATGAGAAAAAAAAATAGATTTCAAGTTTTGGAAGTAGTGTATTTTGTAATGTATTTTTGGACCGTCAATTTTCAAGATTTTAAAGTTTTCATAAATATGTCTATCTACACTATTTTTTAAGCTTAAAACTTTATAAATACATATAAAAATATATTTTAAGGCTATTACAAAGATTTTCAATATTGAAACCACATTTCTCGACACTATTTGTAGGTAGGCTCTAATTTGATTGTTTAGAGCCTAGGCTACCGCACGTCAAAAGTAAAGGCCCATTTTTTTTTTTTGCAATTAAAAGCAAGGGTACAAATTGAATTTCCTTGAAGTTTGGATTCGAATCCTTATTTGATAAACGACATATCTCTTTGGATTTTTTACCTTTAGCTCATTTTTTAAATGAAAATGATTTTAGAGTCTAATAAAAAGTTTTGCGGCTTCTAAAGCACTCTTAACCACAAAGTTTAGAGCATGTGAACCCGCTAGTACACGATATGGACACCCTTAGCATTCAAATGTGCAATTCCTTGACGCCTTAACTAATCAAGCCCAAGCTTAGCTAATTGTTGTTCCTTTCTTTTGATTCACACATTTATACTTTGGAGGATGTAGATGAGTTTTATACGCAAATTCATCTCTCCAGTACAATTAAACCTAGTCAGAAACACAATTAGGATCATTTCTAGTTTTCACACATGAGAAATTTGTACCTTTTTTTTTTTTTAATTTTATTAAATGGTGTCGAAAGGAGTAGAGAGTGTTATGGGGTTTATTGTTGATTTGGTTTGAAATATTAAATATTATTAAGAGGTTAATAGTGAACCTTGAGCATGTTTATAGATAAGTTAATGGGGAAGCTGATGTGTATCGGCTAAGTGCGGAATGGATAGTTACAAGATTTTGATTAATTCTTATAACATTGTAATTATGTGGTTTTGATGAATAAAAGTTCTATGAAAACTTTCATAAAAAATTATTTCTTTTCCTTTTATAATTTTTCAACTGTAAAATTCAAATAATGTCCCACTGCAATTGAAATTTTAATAAATCATGTCCAAGCCATGTCATTTTAAGACATAGAAGATGTATATAAAAGTAGTGTTCAGAAATTGATGGTTTGAACTAGAATTGCCGAGTTCGATAGAAGATGCGTATGAAAAGCAGTGTTTAAGAAACATGTGAATCAGACCAGTGGGTAAGGGGACACAAACCTAGTCTAAGGCGGCTCAAAATCACTTGATCCCCCCCATTTTTTTTTTTTAAATATTTGTTACGTTGGTGTACCAATCCGAATCAAGAATCGTTGATTCACATCGGTTGAATTAGAAATCAAGAATCTTCGATTCACATCCGCCGTCTTTTGCCATAGGCGCGCACATAGGCAAGCTCTTGGCAAATGCTTGCCTACCTAAGAATAAATTAAGACATAAGCCCCCTTCAAAAAATAATCATGAAGTCCTAAAAAAAGAAACATAAGGCCCTTTAAAAGAAAGTTACTAAAGAGGAGGAGGAGGTAGGGTTTTAAGAGAGTGAGTGCCTCTTCCATCTCTGCTTCCTCTCTCTTTCTCTCTTCTCTTTTATTCCCCTTGAACAAACAAGAGGAGGGAGTTGCAAAAACAACATGATTAAGAGAGAGAAACAGTAAGAAAAACCATGCCATTAAGAATGCAGAAATCCTCTCCACTCTCTCCACCCTTACTTTGAACCTTGATAATGAAGATAAAATCTTTGATTGACTATAAGGGAAAAGTTTGTATAGAGCCAAGGCTCTAAACAATCAAATTGCCTATCTAAAAAATTTTACTAAAAGAAATTGTTTTAACGCCCAAATATCTTCAAATTGATCATCACGATATCAAGATGCATAGTGCCTTTCAAGATTTGGACATAGTGTATTTTGTAATGCATTTTTGGACTTTCAGTTTACAAGATTTTCAAGTTTTCATAGATTTGTCGATCTACACTATTTTTGAAGCTTTAAACTTTATAAATAAAAATGAAAATATATTTTAGGGCTATCACAAAGATTTCTAGTGTTGAAACCACATTTCTCTGCACTATTTGAAGGCTCTAATTTGATTTTTTAGAGCCTAGGCTCTATACAAACCGCACCCTGACTATAAAATATTCTAATAATATACCATTTTTGTTAATGAAATATCTAATAGTATTCTTCTATCTTTTCATCACACTACCCCCCTTCCCCCTCTTTCTCTCTCAAAAAAAAAACGAAAAAAAGAAGGAAAAATAATTTGCAGGCCGCTTGATTTCTTAGTGCCTACTTAAGCAGCTGGGATCCCTTGTCGCCTAGCTGGGCGCATCTGACGTTTTAAACACCAACTAATGTGTCATTGAAATATGAATGATTGAGAGTCTGTTTAATGAGATATATTCACGAGCTAGGTTAAAAACTTAAAATCAAGGTTTGAAACCTCTGCTCAATCTTAGGACTGGAGTCCTGCCTGGGCTAAGTTACTCGAACAAGTGCACTGCTCCCAAAAGGGACTAAACAATAAAAAATAGTAAAAATAAAAATACTAAAAATCAAAGTAAACTATAAATAACATTAAAAATCCACATAAAATGGAAATATATAAAAGAAAGGATTAAGAAAAGTAAAAAAAGGGCAAATACAAGAATAAAGCATAGACAAGAAAAGCTCACAAATTATCATAAAAAAATCAAAATTTTATACAAGATATTTATACATTGATTCAACATTTTAACCCAGTTTTACCCAAGTGCTAAGCTCCAATCAAGATTTGTTTTCATATATAAAGAATATAATATGATCCATATAATCATAATAATGACATGAGCATTTAGATTATCATAGTCCAATCAATGGGTTGGATGGTGATGGAAGAGATCGCGATGTACATATTACTTGATGGATTTTAGTAAGATCCACTCCCTCCAATGCCATCCAACCCTTCATTGAATAGTGATAAACCACATGGTCATGCTCTTATTAATTAATGACTTTTCAGTAAGATCCACTCCCTCCAACATTGTCCAACCCTTTCCAACCCTTAATCGGATCCCTCTTACACCCTTGATGGGATGGCAATAACCTCATGGTCATGCTGTTGCTATGACCATGCAGATCATAACTTCATGGTGTCCCATTTGTTAGATTATATGTATTCTTTTTTATTGTCAATATTATTTGGGAATATCTTGCCCCCATATTCTTGGCAAGGATTATTGTGAGGAAAAATTATAGATATCCCCCCAAATGTAACTTCTTATACATCTTACCTTCAAAAACTTTTTGTATCCCACTCTAAACGCCAATATTGTTTTTCTTTATATTTACCCCCCAAATAAAAAAGTCAATGGGTTTATGACAAAAATGTGTTGACTTTCTTGCTTCTCCTCTATTTTGGAGTCACTTGACTCTCTCTCTACCCACACTCTCTCCCCTAAAGTAAAAATCCATTCTCTCTCTCTCTCTCATCCTCTGATAATACGGTTCGGCATACAACCTTAACTCAAATTTTAACCGATCCAGCACACTGGTGTCGGACTGTATTACAAGCTACGTTACTGGAACTCAATGCAGTTCAACACACTAGGTGCTGGATTGTATTACCACAGAGAGAGAGAGAGAGAGAGAGAGAGAGAATAAAAGGGAGAAAGAGAGAATGTGTTTTTACATTGGGAGAAAGGCTGTGGATAGAGAGTGTGGATAGAGAGAGAATCAAGTGACTCTAAAATAGAGAAGAGAGAAGGTAAGGGCATTCTTATCTTAAACCTATTGACTTTTTTATTTGGGAGGTAAATATAAAGAAATATATTATTAGGGTTTAGGGTGAGATACAAAACGTTTTGAGAGGTAGGATATCTAGAAAGTTGAATAAGATGGCCTATTTATAATTTTCCCTTTTTTTACATCTTTTAATTGTTACCCTACTCTTGCTCCTAACCTTCATTGTCAAAGGGGTAACACTTGCAAGTTCGAATACTACTTTACTATTTTATCCTTTGAGCTTGGACAAGGTGGTGTTGTTCCCTTTTGGCAAGCACATCTATATACTTGTTATTAAGGTATAGTTAAAAATAGACACAGTGTCGCAAGTATGAAAGGGGATTCTATCCTTTTAAAGAACTCAGGGTAGGTACTCTAGAAAATGGAGGTAATTTAGGACAAAATATAGAGAGAGCATACACACTCTGTTGGAGGTCTACATGGATATCTGTTCACACAAAATCTAGGAGGTTTTATATTATGTGATTAAAAGATCAGCCTATTTTTCAAACATCGGTCGACTAATTCAGGATGGGTTACCCGCCCGATTTCAAAGGTTAATTATTTTGAAATTTTCATAGAGTTCACTAATCGATCGATTTACTATACTAATTGGTATTAATCGACACAAATCGGTACAAATCGGCCGATTTGTACATTAATCGATGATTTATTGTAAACATCGCCCGTTTTGTGCACTATTACAGCGAAAAATATATGAACACTTGAAAATTGACGGTCCAAAAGTAAATTATAAGATGGACTAT